CCCCCACCCCCACTCTCCGGCAGGAAAATGTCAGAAAGCAGAAATGGATCCATCTATCCCGAGGACAGTGGCCGAGGGACATGGAATTCGGCGCCGGCTCGGCAGCCGCGCGCTCGAACACTAGCTCTCCGCCGGCCCTTGCACACCCAGGCTGGCTGCCTGAGCCGGGTGCACGGATCCCAGTGCGCTCGCAGGGCAAAGCACGGCCTCTCGCCCTGGGGACCCAAACCTGCGGGGCACTGCACACTTTGTAAATGTTTTGCACTTTTGGGGGCGGGACTGAAGCGGGGGTCGGAGGCAAAGGCAGGGGCGCCAGCGGTTCTGGAGGTCCTGCAGGCGCGCGAGCCGGCCGCCTGCTGTCGGTCTGCAGGGATGTATGCGCGGCTCCCGCGTCCCTCCGCCCCCGGCCGAGCCCCCGCCTCTTCCCAGGCCGCCTCGGCCTCTCCCCGCGTGGGGCGTGGGGCCACCGTTCAGTAGCTCGCTGAGCTGCAGGCTCAGAGGGCGCGCTTAGAGCGCCTGCCCTTGTCTTGGCCCACAGGTTGCCAACAGGTTTGTCGGAAGGACCCCTCCGCCGGAGCTCCCCAAGCCATCCCCCATGCTCCCCAGCTCGCCCCTCTCGCCATCCAGCCTCCCCTCAGGGCCTCAGGCTCCCCCAAGCGCTCCAGAGACGCACTCCCTTCTGGCAGCCGAGCCCTGGGCCCGCTCCAGTTGCTGGAGTCCCACACTCGGAGACTCCGCTACCTCAACCGGGCCCTCCCGGAGCAGGGTTGGGGAGAGTGCTCCTCCCAAACGCCGGAGGGGAGGAGTGTAGATTGGAAAGCAAGGCCGGCGGCCTCCCCCGAGCCTCTGATCGTGTCCCCCTATCCGGGTCCTGCTAATCTCACCTGCTCCACCTGTCGCCGTTATTTATCTTGGTGTGTGCGCGGGGATTGTGTTAGGGCGACCGGTGGGAGCGCAGACAACCGCAGCAGCTAGCAAGCGGTGAGATTACAACCCTCCTCCCCACAACCCCGGGAGCTGTACAGCATTTTGGCTGTGATGCTGGTTCCACGAGTCTGCATTTGTGAAAACTCAAAAGAACTGTACACCAAAAAAAGAATTTTTCCATATGTAAATTAAAACATAAATTTTAATAATAATAATAACCACCCCTTCCCCAAGCCCATTTCCTGCTGGGTCCCTCCGCCCCTGGCTGTCCAGGGCCTGACACCATCACAGGGGTAAGTGCTCCCAACTGCTGGGGCAGGGGTCGGAGGTGTTGGGAGAAATTCAAGGCAGCATGTTGGGTGGGCCATCAGCTGAAACCTCAGCTCCCTTCCTGTCCATCTCAGGAAGTCTGAGCACATCTGAACAATCGTGCTCTCCAGCCCTCCTGCACTTAATTGCGCCTCCTTCATCCCCTCCCCTTTTTTCTCTCTCCTTCCTTTCCTGTGGATCCAAGGTTGGATAAGAGAATCCAGCTTAGTACTGGGCACCCAGCAGATGTCAGCTGATGCTTTGTTAAATGAATGAATAAATGATTCCCATCATAGGCCAGATATCACAGACCCTGGATACCCTTGATGCAGCCATCCTTTCTACTCCCCACCCTCCAACTATTACCCCAAAGAGAAAAATCATTTTCTGCCCCACAGAGATACAGAAATTATCTGGCTTCTTCCCACCCAGTCTGGAAAGGAAGTGGCACTAACTGAGGGTGTGATTACAGTAGCTTCTTTTATTGTCGTCTTCCCTCTGTTTGAAAATTCCTAGAAATTCTCACCTCTTCCAAGAAGCTTTCAGGGAGTGAATCACAGCGATTGCCACCCTCCTTGGCTTTGCCCATTCCGAGTTGAATGAGCACTTATCCATGTCATGGGAAACTGCCTTCCTGTTTTCCAATGAGCTAGTCCAGCCCCAAACAGCAGTTAGTTGTTCTTCTTTATCTTTGGGGTGCATCACGGGGTGGGAGGAGAGCAGAGAACCCCACTGATTCAGCTGAAATTCTCTTGAGTTTGTCATCTCAAAAACACCTACACTGGCCTAGAGGAGAAAGAGAACTCCTGATGGGGAGGGACTGGAAGAAGGGGGGAGCAGAGGACCGAATTGGAGCCAAGCTGGGATTGAGCATTTGCTGTAGGGAATCCACTTGTGAATATGCGGCAGCTAATTGTATGCAGTGTAAGTACCTTGACAGCCCGTTTGCTGTGCCTGTAAATTCAGTCATGTCGTCCCCCAAGTGTGCCCCACCTGCTGCCTCTGCTAGAGCCCCGTCTGGCAACGGGGAGAAGGGAAAGAGCACCTGTCCTGCCTTCCAGTGCTAACCTCCCTAGGCCTCAGTTTTCCCAGCTGTAAAGTGAGTAGGATACCAGTGAGAGTGGCTGAGAGACGTAATAATAGCTCACACCTCATGTCAGGCACTGTTCTAAGCCCTTCACGTGGATTAACTATTTAATCTTCATTATAGCTATGTGAGATAGGGCTGTTATTCTCATAAAATAACAGAAAGATTTAGTGCCTCAGGAGGCTGCTAAAAGCCAAGCTGGGCTTTGATTGAGGTAGTATGGCTCTGATACCTTACTCTTTCCCACTGTTCCATACTGAAGAGGTGTAAGGGCCTATGTGCCCAGTGTTTTCACAAGAAGCGTTTCCTGGTCTCTTCACACAGAGAACAACCCTCTGGACTCCAAATTGGGCTGTTGGGGGCCATGTGGCAGAGAGCTAGACCACCAGACCTGAAGCCTGGAGCCTGGAGGCTTGGTGGTCAGCACCCAACTGCCAATTCTTGGATTCCACCCAATATGCTCTAAGAAAAATCCTGTTCTTTTCCCCCAGAGAAACCCCAGCCCTTGGGCTCCAGGAGGTCTCAGGAACTAGCTGCTGATTAAGTGGGGGTGTGACAGGCCAGGAAACCAGGAGCCCAAAACCTCAACCTGGCAGGGCAGCTATGGGCTTTTGTCCTGAGAGCATTTTACTCCCCCATCTCATCTGCCCCTCACTCACTCACCTCTGGCAAGTCAGATCCTGGAAGAGGAGAGGGAAAAAGAAAGGCAGAGTCTTTGCAGAGATGGTGCCTCACCTCACAAGGGAAATTGTCTCTGAAAATCATACAGTGGCAGGTATCGATTCAATCTCAGGGCAAGACACTTTCTGGTCAGGTTGGGGAAGGCTGGCTGGGAGGGGATGAGCAACCGGGAGAGTTACGACCCTGATGAAAGACTGGTTTATTAATTCAGGCTCTAACAAATAGCCAATTAATGGTTCCAGCTGCTAATTAGTTAGCAGTTAACTCCTGTTATAAATTGTGCTGCTCAAGACTAGTGATAATGCAATCCCGTGATGGCACCTTGAGAGAGGAGGGGTCTCAGAGACTTCTGTGGCCCAGGACCTGCAGCCCCTCCATTCCCTCCTCACCCATACCCCCAGCTAGTGAAATGCAGGCATCATAGCAGCAGGAACCATGTCTGTATGTCCACCATTCATTCATTTAACGAATATTTAATGGGCTCCTACCATGTGCCAGGCATCACTTAGGCACTGCAGATTCAATGTGAACAAAACAGACAAGAACCCCTGTCCCCATGGTGGTTACATTCTAGTGAAGAGACAGATAATAGACTATGTAAATAAGGAAAATAAATAGTATTTAGATGGTAAGGGAAATGCTAAAGCTAGGAGGAAGAGGAGGAAATGTGAGGACTGAAATATCAGTTTAGTGAAGGTGTCCAGAGAAGATCCCACTGGCATTTGAATCTTGACCTTAAAAAGAAGAGGGATGGGACAGTGTCGGTATCTGGGGGGAAGAGCATTGCAGGGAGCAGGGCAGCAAGTGCAAAGGCCCTGCAGTTGTGAGGAGGGTTTGGCTGCAGCTGGGTAGGTGAGGCGAGAGTAGTAGGAGCTGAGGTTAAGGTTAGGGGGCAGGTCATTTGGGTCTTGGGGTCATTGCAGGATGTTGAGTTTTGTTTGAAGTAAAATAGGAGCTATGGCAGGGTTTGAATAGAGGAGGGACAGGATCTGACTACAATTTAACAAGCTCACTCTGGCTCTGTGTGAGGACTTAATTGAAGGGGATGCTATGGTATCCCTAGTATTTGGCATTTAGTGGGTGCTCAATAAATGCTTATCATATGAATTGACGAAGGAATATTGATGGGGCTAGATTATAGGACTGGGAACCATGCTCACTTTGAAAGGCCAATCTTTTTGGATTCTCTTGTAAATTATTTTGCAACCATTACCAGGGTACCCTCACCTTTGAACTTTCCAAGGAACTCCACACCCACTATCCTACTTGGTCCTTAAAATGTCCCCGTGAGATAAATTAAGACAGGTGGCCCCCTCCATTTTACAGATGTGAAAACTGAGACAAAGAGACATTCACAGACTGGTTTCACAGTGAGTTACTGAAAATGCCAGTCCTAGAATGATGGGATGGGGTGGTGGGAAGGATACAAAACAGACAGGAGTTCCTCCCTGCTTTCTGGCCAGTATGTCACAATTGTGACCTGCCTCACTGTGTGATCTTTCATCTCTGGGCTCCAGATTCT